CTATTACAAAAACACAAAGTTTAAATAAGTATTTATATTTGTGTATAAGCTGTGTTTTAGGGTTATTAACGAAGTTCGTGTACTCAGACCAGTAATATTTGGGGTCACAAGTTTTTGCCATGAATATTTTGTGGGTCAGAAGATAAAAAGTTTGGGAACCACTGCTCTAAGTAACACCACGCATAAACTGAACACATCATCCCCATTGTGAAACATGGTGGTGGCAGTGTCATGTTGTGGGGATGCTTTTCTTCAACAGGGAAGATGGATGAAGCTAAATATGGGACCAAAAAACAAAAACTGAGGAAGAGGTTCACTTTCCAGGACAACCCAAAATACCCAACCAGTTATGCCAGAATGGGTTGAAGCATGTTTTCTGTGTTAGGATGGGCTGGTCAGAGTCAGAAACTGAGGAAAGCTGATGGGACGCAACAAAATGTGCAAAAAGTTTAAGAGGTGTGATAGTGTAAATGGGACCATTTTGGAGTTCTTTGTAGGTCGATGTTGCGGCCCAGAGCTCGGAGGAGAGCGGTCGTCCTTACCTGACGTGTCCCACATGTTCAGCTCGATCCTCTGCTTGTCGATCTCGAAGCTGGCCGTGTAATTCTCAAACACCGTGGGAACGTAATTCTGCAAACAAGACACAAGAGTGGCTCAGACGAGATCAAAGCTCAGAGAGGTGCTGTGCACACTTTAAAACAAGAAGAAGTAAATTGGTGGGATTTTTTTTTCTGAGGCGAAGCAGCTGGATTCCTAATGAGCTCTCAACTAGCTGTGGTGCAGAGGGAAATACAGCTCTGAATGTGAAGAGGCAGGAGATGGAATGTGTGTGTGGAAACATAAAATCATTTGACCTATTTCCAAACTCCAAAAATAATCAGGTCARTTAGATTTAATTTCAGTTATCTTAACAATTTAACACATTTTTCTTCCTTTAGGCATGATTTAAAAAGTAATGTAAAACTTCAATGTATTAAAGGATTTTTGCATGTTTTGTTCTTGTTAAAGTGCAGAGAATGAGCCGTCACCAACACGTGTTTATTTCTTTATTTAGTCATTAAATCTTAAGTTTTAGAGTACAAATTAAACAAAACTTTAACATGAATGACTTCCTAGAACTTAAATAAAGAAGTTTTTCTGCTCATTTTTTTAACCACTATAATAAATCATCATGAAATATTGAGTCTCAGAGTAATAACAGTTTCTAAACAGGAAAACAGTCATTAAGTGCGTTTTTTCCAGACTGAGGCGCATCAAAAGCGCACTGTGCGCAAAGGCGATGTTTCAACTGACTGCTATTTTTTATTGTGCTTTATCACTAATTTTTACTTCATATAATATAACAGAGAAAATATAAGTTTTAGGTTGAACAGTGGGATCTATTTTTAAGAAGAAGAAAAAAAACCTCCAAGACATTACAGGCGCAAACTGTTCGCAGTCATTTACGCGCAAATGTCTTTAAATTTCCCCTCATGTCAGTTTATAAGTTTAAATTAAACATTTTTTTTAATGAAAGCCTGTTTGGATTTTTTTATTTAACCGCAGAGATCACTGGAGACGCTCTGGCGCTGTTTTGGGGGGACTTTTACGCACCAAGGACCCGCAGCAACAGCGGCGGTTTGAACCTGTTTTTCAGCTCACCTCTGGGTACGAGTCTTTGGCAAAAACATGCAGGAGAGCCGTCTTTCCGCACTGAGAGTCCCCGACAACCACGATTTTACAGCGGAGTAATCCCTTGCTCTCCATCGCCTTTAGGACTGGACGCTTCTTGTCATGAAGCTGAGCGGAGCGAGGAGCTGATCTGAAGCTTTCTCCTGCATAGATGACGAATCTCTCCTGAGACGAGTTTTTTTTTTAAAGTAAATAAAAATAACAACAATAAAACTTCAGCTCCTCCTGGCTKTGCGGCTCAGCTCCAAACTTGGCGCTGCGTTGCGCTCCTCTGGTCCTCCAGTCCAGCGACGCGCATTAATGATACCTGTCCGTCAAAGTAGCGTGCTTATCGTCCTGCTTCCGGTTTGAGTCTGTCAAAACAAAAGCATTTTAAAGCGCACCGTAACATTAACATAAATTAACTTAATATTTCTAATAATAATTARCTTATCAATACTATTAAGTTATTAACATAAAGTAATAGAAGYTTAAGGTCAACATAAGTTCAGACTACTTCTTCCAAGTGACACTCCAATCAGTTGCAAATCGTTAAAACCAATCACTTCATAAAATATACAGCATGTTTAGCATTTTTTAAGTGGTGACAAAGTGACGCCTGAGTAGCTGTTTTAAAGCTCTTCGACTTTAGAGTTTATATAGAGACCAACATCTTTCATGAGCCAATGTAGTGGTAGGATGTCACACAAGGCTGTCAAAACTTGACCACCAACAACCAGCCTGCATGCCCTTACTTTGAAAAGCAAATCGCTGCACTTCCTCTGACCGACYACAGCAGATTTGACGCGGCCAGCTTCCGTTTCTGTCAAACTTTGGTTATTCAGTCAGATAAACTGATGCAGAGGTTTAACAAAAAAATAAGCACAACTCTCCAAAGCATGGCCTGAAAATGGTTTAAATCTAAAATTAAAGTACTTTTAAAAATCCTGTTTATTTCTGGGTTGTGAGCGCGCGCGCGCACGTGTGTCAGCACTGTCACGATGCAGTCAAAAAAACAAATTATTTCTAGTTGTTTGTCGCCACCTTGTGGTCAAAAATCAGATAACTATAGATAAATCTTTACAATAAAGTTACATCACAGATTATTATATTATATTATATTACATTACATTACATTACATTACATTAC